GAATTTTAGTTCAAGGTTTTAACTAAATTTCTTCTAAATACCAAATCCAAGCTGCCGATTCGATGCTCCCAAACATGGCAAAAGGGATAACCTAATGGCAAACACTCTCACCCCATATCTTGGAGGTTGGGAGTTTGAATCCCCTTGGGGACACTCCTGGGAATTTTCCCGGTGCATATGGGACGTATGGAACGGGAGGACTACATGTGCCCAATGATATTTTATGGGATACTCTAAAATGCCTAACACCACAGTCACCATCATCATCAAGAAAAACAAAACAAAAAACTGAGCTAATAACTCAAACTTTAGCTAATAAGATGGTTTGAACAGGTGAATGAGCTCATCATCATCAAGAAAAACAAACCAAAAAACTGAGCTAATAACTCAAACTTTAGCTAATAAGATGGTTTGAACAGGTGAATGAGCTCAAGCAAGCCAAAAAAAAAACAAAAAAGGACTAAGCCCATGTGTTATGCAACTTTTTTGTGGGAGGTCCAAATACTCATCAAGTGGTAAATCTAACTGGTGAAAGTTTTGCTACCCATGTGTAACAAAATGTCAAATTTGTTAGGTATTGCTTTATGACCCAGAAAAGCAATCACATACCTGTAGATTGTATCATTTTGTGTAGTCCCACATTCTCTTTAGTATCTCAGTCCAAGATAATGCATTGCACTAGACCATGTGATAATCAAAATGGAGAAATAAAGCAAGAACCTCCTCCCTCCAAAGGTTTTTCTTTCCTATTTTGCTCATCTGAACCTGAACGACGAAAAAGTGCAAGTACCGTGTTACTAACAAATGTTACTACTAGAAGAGTATCTGATTTACTCACAAATTTCCTCAAGGAAGATGTGAATAGAACAGATATGGATGAGGCCAGGATTTAACAGCAGTTTGAGACATAAAGAAGTAATAATCAAGCATGTTGATACCTTTAAAGCTTAAAACTATTGTTCTCACCTTCTCTATCTTACCTTGCTTTTTCCTTTTGCAATGATTTGACAGGAGCTGCTAATAACAGAAAGCAAATTCAGAGTTTGTGATGGCAAAGTACAATATGATTATAAGGAAAATTTTATTATATTGCATAATCTTAAACTTCCTTCCACAATCTAAAAAATGAAAACTGATGAAAAAGACTTGTAACATATGCCAAATAATTCAAGTAATGTGACGCATCCAAGTTGAGCAAAATGTAGTAGGAGTATGAGCTTTGGGTGTGTGTGAGACAATCTTCTTGTTTTAAACATTAACAACTGCATCTGAGAAAGACTCATTTATGCATAGCCAGACAATCCCACAGAAAAAAGGAAAAAATTGAACATTTAACAATTGAGCTGCGCCAATAACCTAAGATTTTGCAGTTAGATGGATCTGACATTGGACACCAACTCATACACTAGCATGGTTACCACAATCCACGTATGGCAGGCTCTTTGTTCTTAAGCTGTTCTTTATTTTTTTTTTGATAAGTTTGTTCTTAAGCTGTTCTTACCAGCAAAAGCAGCTGATTCCCTCTTTCAAGGTCCAAGTTTTGCTTCTTTCCCCATTCAGCGAATGTTTCTCCCATCAACTATACAATTAAGCGTGAAAATTAGACCATTCCTGCATCAAATCAAATTATATGAGAAAATGATTAATGATCCAGGATGTGGCTAGGAAAACTAGAAGATTAAGGATGCAGACTGAAAAATGGAGATGAAAGATTATAAAGCATCTGGCATGGCCATTTTCTATTTATAAGACTATCCACCCTTATAGTGTTCTATTGAGAATAGCAATACCCTAAAAATTTAGAAAAGAATATGCATGGACAAGACAAATGGTACCAAGAATCACAAACATAAAAGGACACTTCCATAGGAGGAATACAGCCAAGGTTTAATTTTCAGTCAAATACTTTTCAAAAATAAATAAATTATGACTTCAAATTTTTTTTCCACATCACTTGCACATTCAAGACTGGCAAACAAAACTAAAAAAAAAAACTTAATAGACTACATCCACAAAAAAAAGTAATAATAATATTTAAATAAACAAAAATAACTATCAATATCCCCAATTCCTGTAAAGCAGAATACACAAAATTACCATTCCGGATGAACTTAAATTTTTTTTGACTGCCAATAAAACTAGGCTCTTAAGCACAACAACTAGCTAGGCTGACTTGCTGCAGGATACCACCACCAATTTTTCATATTTGGACAATGTAAATCTGTCAACTGTTTTTTCTTTTCTTTTTTCAAGAGGAGAAAACACTTGAGCCTAACAGAGACATTTCTTTGACTGTAGAAGAAATAAAATAAATCCACAGAAGTTCAGTTTTTTTTTTTTTTTTTTTTTTTTTTTTTTGGTGGAAAGCTAAAGGAGAGCATTTAACAAATATAAGGGGCATTACCCCAGGTAAATACCAACTCATGAGGAAATACAAGATAAAAGGAACACCAACTAAAAACCAGAAAGAAGCTAATGGGGTCAGTATGCCAATGCCAATGCCAATGCCAGATCCACGGACTGTACAAAATTAAGGAACTAAACAAGGATTGATTGTAGACATCAACTTCAGTAGCAGGGGAATGATCTCCCATGTTATCACATAGATAGTAGAGACAGCACTGAGGCAAGGAAGCCAAACATAAAAGCTCCATACATTGCTAAACCAGAGAATCTAAACAGAGATAAGCAGACCATTATCTGAATATAGATTTAGGAAGGTTCCATTCTTGCTTCAACCACAGGTTTTTGACTGCTTTGAAAACCAGAGAGAGACCTTTTGGATAGAACCAACATCCTTGTAGCTGTTAGAGTAGAATCTCAAATTCCTTTCCCTCCATAGTCCATAGAACCTAAACGGTGGCACAAACATAAGTTTGGATAACACAGGCAGAAGGTAAGTTCAACCAATCTTATTTTCTTAAAAGATCTACACTTGACAGCGAAAAGCGGTAGGGGTATTCTACTCCATGGTCAGTAATGGCAGCAGTCGAGGTCATTAATGGAGGGCAGGAACCAAAAATAAATAGTATAGGATGTGACAGTCCTTCAGAGCTAGTACCCACTCACAACAAAAGCTCAATCAGTTGCCCCAACTTTCCATTTCAAAATTCAAATCTAAATAACTAATTCAGTAAATACATGTTAGTAAATGAACAAATGATAACAATGGCTTGACAAGATTGTCCATAAGTTACCAACAGGACAGTGGCCTAGCAGTACCAGACCCCTACTTCCCAAAGGGAGGTCAGGGGTTCGAGCCTCAGTGGAGGCATATGTGTTAGTACCAACTAAGAAAAAAAGATTGTCCATAGGTTATCTTTATGTACCAAAATCAAAAGAAAATAGCTACCATGAAGGCACACAAGGGCTCCCATTCTTGATCATTGGATCGAGAGGCATACAATCATAACTTTGTCCATCTAACAGCTAAGGGTGTAAGCTCACTGTGAAAGCAAACTCATAATAGACTTTGCTCAAATAGAAAAAGGAAAGGAAAGAAATCATATGAGTAGATCTCCAAAAATGTACATGACAAAACATATGCCTACATTATCATCATCAACCGCCCCATTAAAGTAAAATCAATTTATTATTTAAAATTAAAAAAATAATATTACCCCCAAAAGAAAATATATATATATACATAGAGAGTACTGATGGAGAAAAGGCTAAATTGGCCCCTTCACTAATATAGGCAATCAAGGTTACAAAGACAAATGATGAGTCAAAGACCAAAAACAAATCAAGATACCCACAAAGATAGTGGTTTCAACTATGCTAATCTGCATGAACTTCGATTCAATAATTTTCTCATACAGCATTCTTGAAACCCGTAAATAAATTAAACAAATTTTTAAATGTTGTAGCAGGAACATGCAAACAAACTAGGGATGCAAAAGCATGAAAACTTACCGCTACCCCATGCAAATAGAAGACATGCAGCTGCACTGAGCAAATAAACTCATGAGAATGTGAAAGAGATTGAATCCACTACTCTAGAACAATTTGAGTGAGCGAGTGGGGTATTTCATTAAACATTATTCATCGTTTAAAATTTTATAAGAATTGTGCTGAACATGCAAATCTCATTTATGGACCAACTATGATAAATAATTCCAAGATAAAAGTAAGTTTATTGATGACATGTTACATAAGCTGCTCGACTTTGTTAGAACTATGCCTCACATTGCTATATCAACCATCACTAAAGAAATCTTACATCAATCAATTACAAGTTACAACAAGTCAATCACATGCAACTAAATTTGGCATAAAATTCAGTAATAATGGATCAAGGAAATTCTGACCATCAAAATATTATGAACTTCAAAATTTCTCATTTGTTTAAAAATAAAAATAAAAATCTGACTATGTGCTCCTTGTGACAGGGTAATGGCATGATGATTGCACACCCATTTTATTCAAATAGCTAAAAAGTGTAGTTATTACGTAAGCATTTCACTTAATTTTCTAGAAGAAATCCTAATCAGATGACCAGAATTATTGATACAATTAATACACAAGAAATGATATATTCATAATTTAACAACAGACAGGTGAAACTACTCATGCATAAAATGGATCGGTGACATAAGAATTCTCCGCCCATGATCCATGCCTAAAGGACATTATCAGTTTATTGTCCGCTTGAAAACATACGAGAAAAATATGAACAGAAGAATAATAATATGTTGGTGACCAATTCAGGTATCTAATATGTAAAGCATCTGATGATTTGTTGTCAAATATATGAGTCATTGACTGTTGTAAAATCAAGATAGAACCATCTGCTGGTCAAGAGTAACATATTTTAAACATCATAACCACCCCCCAGCCGCCCATACTCAAGCCCCTTCCCCCCATTTCAACCTAATTCAGAAAAGACGTGTTCATTGTAAAAAAAAGATCCTATCTATACCATTGCCATATAAAGAATCAATTGTGAAGCAAGGAATATTTTAAACTAAACAAATTTAGAAAGCAATTCCTGTAACAAATTTAGCATGATAATAAGATAATTCTTCATAAGATAACAATGTTAATCTTTACGCAGTGGAGTATATACAACTCTGAATGTTGTCCAAGATCATACTGACGTACTTCCAACGGCTGAAAGGCCCAAGCCTCATCAAAAAGTGAATCTGGCAGTCTTACATTTCAGCCTTAATGGCCTCAGAACAAATCCACATAATAATAGGGCATATAACAAGCAAACAACTAAAAGAGAAGTCCTAAGAATTATCATCGTCGCTGCAATCAGAAGCCTTCTCATCAGAATCAGACCCGCTATCAAAACTAATGATTGGAGCCTCTGACATTCTATTCAAGGAATGGCCACCTGCCTTTAGAAGTTCTACTAAATCATCTAAAATATATGGTTCAATCAATTTCCACAACCATGAAGAATTGCTTCCCAGAAAACCTATCCAAAACACACTCCCCTTCCTTTTTACCTTGCAACCCAAAGATTTATCATTCAATGTTTTAACAATCCTCTGAACACCCTCTTGACTTCCCTTTAGCTTCAACAAAATATCCCCTGATGATGTTCTGTGTCCCCCATACATATACCAGTACGCAAGAACTCGTGGTGACAACCACCGATGGATTAACTTTGGTATTGCAGGCTGGCCTTTTGGCCAGAACTGGTTGGCATAGAAACTGAAATAAGAGTGCGGGATGGTACTAAAGTGGCATGGTATGTCATCACTTCCATCAGTTGATTTACTAAATGAAGTTAACCACTCATGGTACTGATCATGTATATGTCTTCTTAATATAAAATGTGTCTCAATGTTCTCCTTGAACTCAAAGTGGATTGCAAAATTCCTTCTCTCTTCATCTGATACAATCTGCAAACCGCCTAACAGCAACCCCACCAAAATCTCTCGCTGCTCTTTGCTGAGCTTCAGGCTCATGGGTTTCTTGACAACCATTCTACTCAAGCTCAGTACATAATCAAGCTTTTCCATCAATGGAGATTCTATGTCATATTTCTTCTGGCACATCAAATCATATATCTTTTCTGCCTTCAAATACTCTCCACTAGAGAGGTACCCACTCAAAATAGTGTTGCACGATTGGGTGTTTACACCAATTGCATCATTACTATGCATTTGGTTGAAGATCTCTTCAGCCTTGTCAACATTACATATTTTTACCAACGACTTCAAGTATATACTGTAAATAGTTCGATTTGGTCGGCATCTCTCAAGGCTCAAATTGAAAGTTGATTCCAATTTATCATGTAAGCTTAAATTGAAGTACATATACATTAGATCCAAAAAAGATGGCATTAGGGGCTTTAGACCACTCCCAATGAACTCTGTCATGAGGGACTCTGCAAGTTCCATTTTTTGAGCTTTAGATAACACCTGTATGATTTTATGATATGCCACAACAGGGGTGGAACCCAACTGCTCTTGCATTCCCCAGAATATCTCCAATGCTTTCATAGGTTCTCCAACCTTCGCATGCACTTCCATTCTATACACAAAAGCTTGAGATGGGAGATTAATATCAGATTGAAGGAGTTTGAGCCAGGTCCGTTCAACTTCCTCCACATCCCCTTCCTTAGACCAAGCTCTCAAGATGGACACAAGCACTTCTCTGCTCTCTTCAATTCCTGCTAATTGCATTTCTGCCCTCAGTGATGCTATCCTCTCTTTGTCAATGGTCTCCTGATAACTATGGAGCCAAATTAGACTGCCATAAATATCCTTGTGTATCTCAAGTCCAGATGTTGTCAAATTATGAAATATGAACTCTGCCTGTTTGAGATAATGTTTTGAAGAGCCTCCTGGTTTGCTAACAATAGCCCTGAATAGAGCATTGTGTAAACTAAGTCTAGGCTTGTAACCTCCTAATTGAATCATACGATTGTAAATGCCGCATGCTTCCTCTAGGCAACCATGAACTGGCGAACTAAGATAGGCAACGGATAGAAAATGAAACGTAGATTCACTAGGCACTCGTCCATGATTGAGTATGTCGTCAAATATCTCCCGACATTTTAAGAATTTTCGCTCCTTGCCCATGTAATATGCTAGCTTAGTAGCAAGAGCAAAATCAAATTGGAACCAGTGCTGTTGCATCATCCATTTGTATACCTGGAATACATATGGAAAAATAATTAAAAAATGAAAGTTAAACTCAAGGTACAAAACCCAGGAGGCACAGAAAAATAATATGGCAATAACAACTAAAAAACAGAGGCAAAATAACATATAAGAAGCAGTACATTCACTGGACTAATGTACTTGTGCACTTGAAAAGTAAATACGATCCCAACCTTCCAATCTACAGTGGCATGGCTCATGTAGTATTGTTCAAAACAAGGAAAAGAAAGTTTTTATATATTAGCTTGTAAAATATTTCAATTATTTCCGTATAAACCATTAAGCTGATAAGCATTGCAATAGATAGTTCACCTTATTTCTCTGACCCCAATGTGCAATGGAAATGTACCAAGATTCAACGGCAAATAGTTCAGTAATAGCAATTCAACATACAATGGCATGGTTTTTGGACCATAAAATTTTCATATATTATCTCTAGTCCAAGAGCAGAAGTATTAAAAAATTTGCATGGGTAAGTCTGATATTTGATTCTAGCTTTTCATTATCTACCATAGATGTAAGCATTAAAAGAAAATGTAATCACGATCAACATTTACAAGTTGCAACCTTCTTGAGCAGTTCTCCAACAATGAGATTTTCTTTATTAGCCGATTAATGATTAAAAACAAACTAAAGATGGCAACAACGAAGGTCCAGTCCAAGATAATTAGAATCCCACAATGCTACTAGACTCATCGTGCATGTTACTTAAAAAGTTCAATTCAACCTTCAAAAGACCAGTGTATGGCAACTTTGCAGGCAAAGTTACAAAAAAAAAAAAAAAAAAAAAAAGAACTGAAATTTCAATCTTATCCATCATCAACAACACATTAAAATTCTACACCTAAAATATATTTTCCACAACCATGTCATGCCACAAAATTACTTGGATCTAATATCATTGTTCAAATTAGAGTCTAAAAGAGCTGTCTTCAATAGCAAATAGCAAATGGTTGCTTGTAAGACATTTACATTTTGACATTCGAGGGAGGAAAGAGCATGAAAGTTACCCTAAAACCGGCCTCGTTCTCGCGAATCCGCATACAATGGACAGCCACATAAGTTGCATCTTCCTGCCTAATCCACTTCCGCTGCGCATTGAGTACCCGAATCAGCGTCGCAGGCTTGTGCGACGGCAGTTCCTTGCACAGCCACGCCAACTTCGATCTCCTCCACTGTTCGGGAAGCTCCTCCAGTTGCTTAACCTCAAGCGGCGGCGGCGAATTCAAGTTCTTCAATTCAGTGGACGCAGAATCTGCACCGAAATCAAAAATTTCGTCCTCACTGGTGCGCGAGAAATCCCAATTTTCATCGTTTCTGAATCCTTCTGGTTTGTAGGGCAAGTGTTCGACAAAAGTACCCGACTGCGCCGCTGAAGCGTGTGGGTTCGAGAGGGGCGGCAATGGAGATGATGGGGAGGTTTTGTTGGCGCATAACGAGAGAGTGAGGGGGGTTTGGGAGGGGTTGAGGAAAGAGAGAGTGCAAAGGAGGCGGCGGTGATGGTGGTGGTGGTGGTGGTGGTGGTGGTGGAGGGAGGGTGTGAGAGAACGGAGGATTGTGAGGGCTTTGCGCATGGAAAATGCGATGGGTTTGTAGAGGTTAGGGTTAGGGTTTGAGTAGAGAATGACAGCGACTGGCGAGAGTTCTTGAGCTCTGCTAAGAAGCATTTCTTCGGTGTTTCGTAGGGGAGAGCGAGACAGACACTGGGTTGGAGAAGAAACCTTGGGGCCCAAGCAGCCAGCTATATCCAAGTCCGATCAACCCGGCCCAAATCCGGTCAGAGGCTATCCGGACTTCAGGAGTATTGTCTGGTAAACACAAAATACCCCATTTTTTTTTAAAAAAATTAATAAATAAAAATAAACAAAGAAGTTTTTCTCCCCCAACTAGTGTGTGTTCCGGTCCTGTATCAATTTGAAAATACATTTTTTTAAAAATAAAAAAATTAAAATATGACAACTTAGCTTCCAAATTGATGTGTCTGTGTTAGAGTATTCTCCTATAATTTGTCAAAAAAAAAAAAAAAAAAACAACTTTGCAAGTCAAAGTATTGAGTTTGGATTAAAAGTTTGGCGTATATATTTACTAAATTATTAATTATTTGGAAGGAGAGGCTTGAAGCAAAGGAAAGAATGCGACTTGAATAACAACCAAAATTTAGGGACAGATAACATTTGTCCTACTTTTCTATTGTTTGGAAAGAAACAAAGGAGAAAAAAGTGACAAATAAATGGATTGATTTGTCATTTTAAGGTTGGACAACAACAAAAGAAAACAAAAACGAAGAGAGGATGAAAAGTGATTTGCTCAATGTTACCAAATTATTTCCGTCCAAAAGTGAAACTATAAAAAGGAGAAAATGAGTTTCCACAACTTTTTCTAATGTTTATTGAAAAACAAAACTAAAAATATAACTTTTGCGTTTTTACCACAATCTTTTATTTTCTTTCCATCCCACCATTACATAACTCTTTAAAAACCAAACATATTGACGATTTGTTTGTTTGGATTTAAAATAATTTTTTTAAGATATATTTTTTTTACTTTATGGTATTTGGTTGTCGTAAAATATTTATGATAAAAAAATATTAAAATTTGACTAAAATAACTTATTCACTAATTTTCAGTAAGTTATTTTATATGTTCCACCCGATGGATTCGATCTCAACTTCCATCTAGGCCTTTGCAAAACACTAAAATATAAATGAGAGAAAAATATTTTACATTGAAATAAACGGAACCTCAGTCTCTAAAATTTTACAAGTTGAATTTAATCAAGGGTTGACAACTTTAAAATGATGCATTGTAATTTAAGAATTCTATTTTATTTTTGCATTTCAAGAACAAATTTAAACGAATATTTGCCAAATTTTCACCAAGAATATTCAATTATAAATGATAAGTGAAATTCCATTCATTTTAAAGTGTGACTCCTTTTAAATAAAACTTATTTTTTAAGTGACACTCAATTTAGGTCATCAAACACATTTAATTACAAAATCAATTTACATTTGTTTATTTTTAAGTGCCAATTGGTTCATCTAAATACCCCAACAAAAATATGTTATTTGAAAAGTATGTACCTATTTGGGTAATTGTACAAATTAGAATTTAATAGAGAAATATGACCTCTTGATTCTCCTTTACTTCCCCCATAAAGTCTGGAGCATATATTTATATATTTTATTTAATAAATTAGATTGAGTAGAAAGGTTGAAAAACCGAAATAAAAATAATTTTTTGTGATTTTTAGTGTTTGACTCCAAATTTTTATTTTATTTTATTTATATTGTATTATTTGTAGAACAAAAAGATATATAAAAAAAAAAAATTTCCCTTCTTTTATTCTGCTAAGTTTTGGAAGAATTAAATATATTGTAGACCTTTTATGTTATGCCATATAATAAAAATAATCGAAGGAACTATATATATATATATATATATATATATATATATTTTGATGTACTACACAAGAAACAAAATTGTTTGAATTAACTTTTCAAACATTGTTTTTAGCTTGAAAGCTATTTTATAGAACGAATCGGCAAACAGAACCATCCAAACATTTTGTTAGATTAAATTGTTTGATTATATTATTTTTTAAAAATAAGTATTTGTTTCGAAAATAGTAACTCACTGTGAGCCGCTGAGTCACAACTCACACGATAATTATTTTAAAATGAAAAAGGCATTAAAGTAAAAAATTTATTAAATATAAAATAACTTTTAATAAGTGTACAATTTAATTAGTGACCCTCAAGTTGAAGTGGACTCTCTCATGTATGACCCAATCAAAGCGCATGTACTATCAACTCAATTATTACTACTAAAATACTATTTAAATAATATAATTGGTTATGATTGGTCAGCACGACTTACCCTTTTAGTGTATTTAAATAATATAATTGGTTATGATTGGTCAGCACCGCTTACTCTTTTAGCGGCACATGAAGTGCCTAATTTTATTAATGCAGTTATTTATTTATTTATTTTTGCATTTTATGGTACAAATGATAGCATGTTCTAGGGTACACCACACGCCAAATACACCTCCTCTTTTACAAGGAAAAACCAGCTTTTCTTGTGATGTGCGATGAACCTTATCCACAATAAGGGTACATAAGTCAATTCAAATCCTCAAAAGGCATTTCTTGGGCATTAAATAAAATAACAAGGATGAAACCGTAATTTTACTCTCCACCAGTTACACTGATTCAGAGACACCAATAATAGTAGTAGTAGAAAATAAATATCTATCCATCTACTTGCTGCGTCATCCCGAAGCCTTTCCGGATAGAAACAAACACTTACAGAGAGAGAGAGAGAGTGAAGAAAAAGGCACCCAACTTCACGAGCTCCTCCCCTCACCGCCCACTACCATCATCGTCGTCATCATCGTCATAGAATTCACAAACCCTAAAAAAAGAAAAGCTACAACTTTGTTGATTGTTGGGGGTAAGTAAAAGCTTCACGGGCTCAAGCTCGAGCTCATCAACTCCCCATCTCTATCTCCACACCAACCAACACATCAATAACTCAATCGTGTGATCCATCTCGCGCCACGTCACAGTCTCGCAGTCGGGTTCTAGGTGGATTTCAGTTAGGGTTTCAATCGATGACGGATTCGAGCCCTTTTTTAGTCTGATAATGTGAGTTAAAGTCTGTTTATTTGGAGTTTGAAGAGAGTTTTGTAAAGATGGATCGATCTGCTTTGACAGTTGGTCCGGGCATGGATATGCCGATCATGCACGATAGCGATCGGTACGAGCTCGTGCGAGACATTGGGTCTGGAAATTTCGGTGTGGCGAGATTGATGAGGGATCGGCAGACCAACGAGCTTGTTGCCGTGAAGTACATCGAGAGAGGTGAGAAGGTCAGTGTGTAAATTTCTAACCTTTATTGTTTGTGTTTATTCAAGTTTGTATTATTAAATTAAAGTTAATTCTGTGTTACTGGTGATTGGTTGGTTATTTTTGGTCTTTATTTAGTGCTGGTATGTGGAGCTTAATTATTGGGATTACTTGACACAATATTGTGTCCTGTTCATTGGTTTTTAGAAGGAAATGAAACATGGCATGTGATCATGGGAAAACCTACTTCTTCTTTTTTTCTTTTTTCTTTTTTCTTTTTAATTGATGATTCATGGTCTTGTAATTAAGTTTTAGTACGTCAATTTCAATTCTGGGTCTTAAATTGGTGTAGTACAAAATTAATGTTCTGTTTAGTTTTGTATATTTGGAGAATTGGAAAGACAAGATGGAATACTGAGCTTGAAAAAAGAGTCCAAGTTTCCAATCCTACTACAAGGATCGATTAAATTATAAAATGGTCTTTCTAAATAGTCTTGTTTGATGATATATTTATTTATTGGGCAGGATTTTGTTCCTCATTTTGGATGGGATGAATAAGAGTCCAGCAACTGTACTACTATTTAATGAGTATATATGAAGTATGAACTTGTCTAGCAAAACCTAACTAGGTGAAATATTTTTCGAAAACATGTATTGGGGAAGTTCTGGCAATTCAGAACCTTACTGTCCGACTATGGAACTATGCTGTTCATTCTGCCAACTCACAGGGTTGGAGCTAACATACTGGATTGTTACATGGGTTGATTTGGTTTATTTGTGCAATACGGAAAATGTGGTGACTGATTGTACCTGCTACCTAGACCTTCAGGGAATTTAGAAATTTCTTTCTTGTCTTTATATTGTGTCTCCATTCTGTATATTCATTTACATGTTTGTGAAATCTTTTGTGTAACAGATAGATGAAAATGTACAAAGGGAAATCATTAACCACAGATCGCTGAGGCATCCCAATATTGTTAGATTCAAAGAGGTCTGTCCGATACCAAATCCAATTTTTGGTTTCTTTTTTTTGAGGGGAATGATGCTTGACTTAATATTTCACATGCTGATAACTCCTCCTCTAGGTCATTTTAACACCAACCCATCTGGCTATTGTAATGGAATATGCATCGGGGGGAGAACTCTTTGAGCGGATATGCAATGCAGGGCGCTTTAGCGAGGATGAGGTTTTTATGCAACACATGGATTTTGTTTATGGATGGTGTCTTCTCATTTCTTTACGGTTTATATACTCTGGCTTGTACTGTAGGCACGATTCTTCTTCCAACAACTTATATCAGGAGTCAGCTACTGTCATGCGATGGTATCTAAAAAAATTTTACGCCTTTACTGTCATTACCACTTTAATGGAGACACTAACTTATGGCTGACTTTAATTTTTTTGTTTTTATTTTAATAATGAAGCAAGTATGCCACCGTGACTTGAAGTTGGAGAACACACTATTGGATGGTAGCCCTGCTCCTAGGCTGAAGATCTGTGATTTTGGTTATTCCAAGGTACCATTATCTTTCTTTCTCTTGCTCTTTCCATTGCATGATTCTTGTGATTCTATATGTTATTGCATTTTATTGAGTTCAAGATTCAAAATTATTCAAAAGTACCAAGCTAGGAAGTTGGTTGAATGTATATGTGCATGTCATACCCATACGGCTTTTGGTATAGTTTTTGTCTATGTAATTTATCTCTTGCTGCTTTTCTCAGTCTTCAGTGCTGCATTCGCAACCAAAATCAACTGTTGGGACCCCTGCATATATAGCTCCCGAAGTGTTGCTTAAGAAAGAATATGATGGCAAGGTATATTGATTTCTTTATTTTTCCAACCAATTTAACCTGAAAAAAATTGAGTGATCTGTGTGAACTATATAAATTTTATATTTTTCATGTGTAACATGCTCAACTCAACAGCATGAAACTGTGATTATTTTTTTGAAAATACACATTTGAACCATACGTCTAGAACGACATACTTGTCAAATCAAGATACTTGTCATGAATTTTTAACCCCCCTCCATCAATCTTGAATCTCCATGGTATTGTGAATAGTAAGAAAAAATTGACAATTTTAAAAATAGATAGAAGATACTAGGTAAAAGACTATAAACATAGAAAACAAAACGTATATCCTACAAATGTAGGATGTGCTTAACATGAATTTTGTGTGTCCTGATCACATTGTGGAACTAGTAAGGCACTTACTATAATCACTTCCGTCATCCTTGATTCTTTTCCTATTTTTGTAAGAAGTGATGCTAAAGGCACACACTAAGGTCATTTGGAGCCTAAAAGCATTGCCCAATGTAACGCACGAGATTGATCAAAGTAAGGCGTGGGTGTGATAAATATGCATTTTAAATTTAATTGTGAAATAATTAAACTATGCAACAAAAACTCATAAATATATTTTTCAAAATATCAATTCAACGGATCTGCTAAATCAATTCGTATAAATACTTTCAATATGAAAATGCATTAACTAAATCAAATGCTACTACATGTGCAACAACAAAAAGTTATATATGTAGTTTTTAATCAAATATTATATGATAATTAAATATTCAAAATCAAGGATTGCACACAATTATTGTAAGTATACAACCACAAACTTATGAGTTTTTTTTACACATTTGAGAAGATTAAATAATATGATCCATGAAACGTGATTGTAAGTTTTATAGCATCTTAATTAATGATCTTTAATGGGAACTATATGTATGAATGGTAGTAAAAGGCATGAATTTATTTTTTTGACACATGGAGCCTTTTAAATAGTGCGAGCCTGAGAGCTTCAACTAAGCCTAGCTGAAGGGGTCTGACCTCCAATTGATCCTTGACGAGTCTCGGGTTATTCACTTTATAATTCATTTTAGCATACTAATATGTTGTGGTTCGATGCTTCATTGGAATTATAGATTGCAGATGTGTGGTCTTGTGGGGTAACCCTATATGTCATGCTGGTGGGTGCATACCCTTTTGAGGACCCTGAGGAGCCTAAGAACTTCCGGAAGACGATACAAGTAAGTGATTGCACTTGTTTTCAACCCTCATGTTGCATCTCAAATAATTCGATTCTTAAAGTTCTTGTTTTGTGCAGCGAATTTTGAATGTTCAATACTCAATTCCAGATTACGTTCATATATCTCCTGAATGCCGCCATCTGATCTCCAGGATTTTTGTAGCTGACCCTGCCAAGGTCAGTCATCTAGAGTTGCTTTTTGGGATGCACATATTATGACAATAATGGTTAATACTTTAAAAATAACAAGGAGATAGGGCTGTAAGAAAATATCTAATATTTTTATCTACTGGTAAATGTTACTGTTGCCATTTGGCCTCTTTCGTCTTCCTGATCTAATCTAGACAGAGTATTGAATGTTTATTTACCGATTCAACTTTTATTCATTTTATTGCATTCCACAGAGAATAACCATGCCTGAGATCAGAAACCATGAGTGGTTTCTAAGGAACCTCGCAACGGACTTTACGGATGAAAACATGATGAATAATCAGTTTGAAGAGCCTGATCAACCAATGCAGAGTCTTGATGAAATTATGGGAATAATTTCTGAGGCTACCATACCCGCTGCAGGGGCCAACCGTATTAACCAATACCTGACTGGAAGCCTGGACATCGATGATGACATGGAGGAGGACCTGGAGTCTGATCCAGAACTTGACTTGGATAGCAGCGGAGAAATAGTGTATGCAATGTGATCGTGGCACGTACATACTCAGGGTCTGGGGAGTTCTAAGAAGACCTGCTGCTGCTTTGACGATTGAATTCATTGACTGGGTGTGAGGGATGGATAGGAGGGAGTTCTCTCTCTCTCTTTGCAATTCAAGGGTTCTATAATTTGGGCTGTCTAATTGTCAGGGACAATGCATGCTTCCCACTTTTCTCTTTTTGTATTTACAACCTCCCTAGTGAAATGCTCTTGTTTGTATTTTGTTTTACCTTTTGGAACTGGCAGTATATGTACTCATAATGTACTTATCCCACAACTATGTAATATTATGTGACCTAATGCTTTCCCTAAATATGCATTTTTCCTTTGTCCTCTCTCCAATTTTGGTTCAGTTGAATTGGAAATTTTTGTCATGCCAAGAAACTCACCCCCCCACTCCGACGTTGCCCCTGTAGGTACTTAAACCTTTTATATTTTTATTTTGGAAGGTGAGAAAGTTTCGATGTTAGACTAAGATTTCATCAAACTGTTTTCTGGACGGTGTCCAGTAAATAGTAACTCTAAGCTTAGGTTGATTAAAAGGGTTCCTTGTTTTGAAAAGTAAGTGTTATGGGGTTGGCTATCGGCTGAAATGTATTTTACAAAATACTGCATTTGAAGCATATTGGAGTAGGAAATACCCTTTTATATATATGTGTGTGTGTGTGTGTGTGTGTGTGTGTGTGTAATGCATAGAGCTTCCTGCATGACAAGACATACCCTTTGCGTGGCAGCATTTGATTGAGATGATATAATACCCAGTCATTGAGGTAATTGTGATGCCTGAACAAGTATGAGTTATTCTGTCGTTTTATCTCATGGCCTGTGTTATAATTGTCCTTCCCCAATGTCAGTCATCATTCCTGGTTGAAAGAATTTCTCAGCACTTTGTATGGGTGTGTTCTTGCAAAGGATGCAATAAGGGAATTGACTTCCAACTCAACCTTTAATTCATGTCCCATTTTATTATTATTATTATATTTTTCCTCTTTTGCTTTTAGTGCATTAACAGCATGCTTGTTGGAAAAATTTACCATCCAAAACTATATTCTATAATGGGCTATCAGGAAAACATAGCTTTATCCCGGTATAAAACAGAGGGAGGATGGGTTTTTATCATATGGTGTCTTTGTCAAGGCCATTGCAGTGGGGGAGCGAGGAATTTAATTCAGTGGGGGCATTGGCAACCATTAATAATAATATGAAGAAAAAAAAAAAAAAAACACGAATCAAAATAATAAATAGCAAAGAAGGGTTTATGTTATTTTTAATATGAATTTTGATTCTTAAAAAATTTGCCGGACCCACCAGAGAAGAAAAGATATGGTCTTTTCTGAATTTTAAAATTTTTTGTTGGGCAAATGAGTTAGAAAATGAGGAGTATTTTTTATTTTTTGAAGTTTTTCTTAGGATCTTTTGTGAATTTTTTAGTATCTCAATCGATGCACTTTTATAATTATCAAATTTTGTGTACAGAAAATAAAATAACAAAAAGTTCAATCCCAAAATTTGATTCTTGAACATGGTCTCTACTGAATTTTGAAAATCTTGTTGGGCAAATGAATTAAAAAATTAGGGATGTTTTTTACTTTTGCAAGTTTTATTAAGGTCTTTTATGAATATTTCAAATATAACTCGGGGCTATTTTAAAATTATCAAAACTTATATGCAAAAAATACAAATAAAAGAAAATTAACTTGCTATGAAATGGCGGCGTAAAGGCCCAAAAAAAAAAAACCCAAAAAGTGGAATTTGAACCCGACGTGAATCGAACACGCAACCTTCTGATCTGGAGTCAGACGCGCTACCATTGCGCCACGGATCCACTTGCGTTAAATTTAGCTATGTTACTTCTATAAACATTAGTGAGAATGAATTTACACAGCAGTTACTCTAACATGCATTTTCACTGTATCCAAACACATATAACATCCTTATTTTGTACATCGACGTGAATCTATGGCCCCCGTTTTTTTTTTTAATATCCCTCTTTTAATTTTCTTATTTTTATTATATATTAGAGGATAAAATTCACCCAATCTTGCCATCACAGCACCAAATAGTTGGTCCAACTTAATCCTCAATCTTTTGCTTTAGTAGGTAGATTTTCTTTTTTCATTGGCTCACACACCTGCATGCCTCTACGGAAATTTAAATCATTGACCTTTTTTGATAGCCCAGAAAGTTCCACAAAGTTATATAGTCTTTAGTACATCACTTCTACGTAACAGTTCTAACAATAAAAAGCTTGAATTTACCGTTCACTCGACTCGACTCGTTCAATTTAAGAATGAGTTTCTTAACATGCCAAGATTCCTATAACATAAATTAGACATTTTACGCTTTTGTAGCTCTCCTTTGAAGCATAAAAATGTGTTCAAGTTGCGAACACAAGTGTCACAAGGGCATATATTAGGAGACAGAGAAAAAATACAGAGGCTATTACTGATTCAATTGAATATACTTGTCAATTTATATACATACAACAAAAGAATAAATTTACATCTCAACCAGCCAAACAGAAAACTAGCTGAAATTGATTGAATTTGCATAACTGCTAGCAAAAAACTAACAATTCACACATTTAATCACTGAATGAGCTTTATCGATCTAAAGCAGAAAGAAATGGAGTTTGAGATATTCTATTTGGTGTTTGACGGTTCTCGCCTGCTTTAGAGCTCACTGGTGACGATTGTGGTATGATCTCAGACAACCGAATTCTTTCACTGGTAATTTTATTCTGTACAAAAGATAGCAGTGTTTATATATAGTTCCAGAAGGTCATTTTCTGTCATATCTGAAGTACATTGAAACTTATCTACTTTTGAGAGGATACAAATATATTCTATTCATTAAAAACCAAAAGAGGTTATTTAATGTATATACCTTAAATTTCATATTTTGCAATTCTCTTTCCAGCAGAGTGATCCGATTCCTGAGCTGCTCGAGTGCCTCTTCAGCAGCAGGGAGGCTTACATCAGATGCTGGTCTTGTGATTCCAGCAGCCTGTAAAATTCATTCAAATGAAAAATGAGATAGATTAAGCTGTGTTTTTTATTTATTTGAATTAAATAATTCCTATTTCAGCCTTTCCATTGTCAAGACGAACAAATTAATTTGGGTTTTTAAATTCCACTAACCTTTAAAATGCTAGTACACAATCCCAATAACTTTTGTGCTAATTGCAGCCTCTCCTCTTCAGTTTCCTGTAGCAGATTCGCAGTAATATTAGGCCTCTCTCCCTTACACGTATACACACACGGTTTTGCTTATTGGGCCAAAAGTTCTGCTCAGGTACTAACCTTCAGTTTGTTATTCAGCCATTGCTCTTCATCAAAATTAATGTATGGGCTCCTCCCATTCGCAGTACGGAAGTGAGCAAGCTCTTCCTTGACACGTGAAAGAATGGTCTCTGTCCTCTGCAGCTTAATGCTGAGGTTATCATTCTGAACTTTCAACAAATTATTCTCTTCCTGTTGCATTAAATAGAAAACCTTGCTAAACATTAGTTTGAAAGCAAAGGTGCTGCTGACACTAGGAAGAAACAAACCAATGCTCAAAATCGAAGACAATTCAAATATACCGTCCAAGCCAAGTTCAGTAGATAACTTAGAATCCATCAAAGGTCACTAGGAGTGGAGTGGTTCCAAAAAAGTTACATATATATATATATAATTGATTGAGATATCTTGCCTTTATTTTAGCATGATGATGAATCCGCTGCTGGAGGTTTTGCTGGCCGGAGAGCTTCTTTAATTCAGCTTCGAGTTCCATGATCTTCTTCTTGTGATTTATGTTCTCCATCTAAGAAATGAAAAGCACGCAGGCCAAAAATAAGCAACACAAATAAGAGACTCCACTTTGAAAGAAGACTTTTTAGTATCAGTACACAACAAAATTTAATATGTCAACCTTGAACATTTCATTTTCAGTTGTAAGTAATCGATCTCGCTGACGAAGCTTTTCCAACGCAATCTGTGCTGCCACCATCTCGGCCTGTTTTCTGTCTATTTCCTCTAACCATCTGGATTGAGACTTACAAAGCCACTTAGAAATTCTGAAAAACAAAAGAACTAAAGAATTCTCAAATTTGATCTATGACTTGACAGTCACTTACCCTTTCCTCTCCTCAATAAACTCATTAAGCTGCTGCTTTAGCATGTTAATTACCTCTTTCTCCTGCATTAAGGATGCCATTCTAAATAATGAGAACAGATAAAAGTATCCAATTTAGTTTCAGTTATATCAAAGCTAAGGATACCTTAACATCAGTTTCAACAGCACAGTGCTGAACCTTCTCTGTTATCTTTTGCACTTGCTGATTATCCACCAACGACTAGCATTAACAAAATAAAAAGAAGATGAGCAAAATAGGATAGGTAGATATTTTATGTATTGAGATTGATGTCCCTTAGCATTACCAACTTAAATCCAACATAATACAGGACAACCTAGAAAAGGACATGATAGATGGAATCAACATGATTGAATTCAATAGTTGCTATGGAACTTCATGAATTTACCGCATAACTGGTCATATCCAACTTTAATCCCAACAAATCCCGAATTACATCATGGGTCATGCTTTCTGCAGAAGCTAATCTTGCCTTAAGCATGAATATCTGGAAGGGAACATGAATCAAACAGACGTAAAAATGCATATCACCAAGCCTCAAAAGAAACCATAGCATTACAATGATGTATCAAGCCTACTTCTTTTTGTCGACTTGCAGCTAAGGCTTCAAGTTCTTCAATACGAAGTCTTCCAGCAGTGAGCTCCTCATCCCTCTCCGATTTTACTTGTTGCACTAAGCCCAACCCAATGCATTTGAAAGGGGAACCAGAACCCCTGGGTTTTGAGCCATTTTTCTCTAATTTGTTTGATGATGTATTTGTGAGATGGGTGGAAGGCCCCTCAGGTTTTACTTGTTCAGCCATGGTTTCCAGTGCCTTGAACTGTTTTCAAGTTCAAAAATAATAGTTAAATATATATAGGAAGGAAGAGCAAATCCTATATGCACCCAACATCTTTGATGACAAATTAATTTTACCCAATCTAATCTTTGAAGTATAAGTGCTGGCATACCTTTTGTTTGTACTCACAAGCCTGTGCTTCAGCATGTAAATTTAGCTCAGAGATGTGAACTTTGCATTGTGCAATCTATTGAAAAACAACAAAAGCATAAACCTCAAATTCAAAACCATTGGGTTCAATTATTTCATTATACTTGGATAAACCATCATAAGCACAAAAGTTGAGATAAAAATGAACAAAAAATGAAGAGAAAACTTCACCTCAGTATCTCTGGCAGCTATCTCTCTCTCAAGAGTTTGCATATGCTGAAGGGCTTCTTGAAGTTTTTTCTCCTTCTCATCCAGAAGTCTGCAGAGAAGGAGTTTGCATATTGGCATTCAAAATTTCAATTAACTCATTTCAGCATTTTTCCAGGAATCAAGTATTTATTTGATTGAATTATTTACTTCAAACCTTTTTATGTCAGCATCACTACTTTTAACATTTTGCATCTGCTGTTTTATAGCATGAAGCTCCAATTCTAGATCCTCTCTCTGCAAGCGTTGTCGTTCAGCTTCTCCTTTGACAATGTCAACCTTGCAATATGAAAAACCATGCCATAAGACATCAAGATTAGGATAAGAATTTCAGTTGAGTAGATCGAATTTTATACAAGACTGTCACGGAGCATGATGACAACAGCCCTTTTGTTTAGTGGGTATACCCCTAAAAGAGCATGATGACAACAGCCCTTTTGTTTCGAGGGTTTACCCCTCTTAATTCATGGACATATTTTTTGGTTATACACATCTTATTAACCTATATATATATATATATATATATATATATATATATAAAGTTACCTTGTTTTCAAGTACATTCACAGTACAATCTAGCTCCTCAATAGACCTCTCTAAAAGCCTCACCTCCTCTTCCTTGTCTTCAGCATAGAGCTTCCTAGTTTCAGCTATCTGACATCAAAAGCAAAAAACATATTTTATGATACATGCTTCCAGTGAGCTAATTGATGGAAAAATAATTAGTAAGCCAAATTAGCAATGTACCTGTTGAGCTTCCATAGCAATTGCTTCATTTTCTTCAGCCAGGGCTTGTGCCATCTCTAACTTTTTCTTCAAAATATTTGCTTCAGTTTGGAGATCATCCCTTTCACTAGTAATTGTATCCAAGTTGCACCTCAAGGATTCTATCGAGCTGTTCATTTGGTCAAGAACAGTACCCAATTCTGTGAGTTCCAATTCTAAGCTCTCATTCACCTTTTTTCTCTCCATTAGCTTCTCCTCAGTTGACCTTTTTGCTTCTAATGCATCTTCAATGTTGGCCGTCAGCTCAAGATTTTTGCTGGAAAGTGATTTAATAGACTTGCGTTCTTTCAAGATATCCGACTCAAGAGTGGAGATTATCTCAATCTTTTCCTTCAACTGAGCTTCAAGTGTTACCCTTTTAGCTCCAGCCTCATCAAGCTCATGTGATCTTACTGCAAGCTCGTCTTCTAGTGCCTCTAAAGACGCTACCAATTCTTCTATTTCATCTTTCTGATCCATATTGTTAGATGCAGACTCCTGCAACAAGCTGAGATCAAATAACAATCCTTTTAGAACATCATCCTTCCTTGACAACTCAGTCTGAAGAGATATATTTTCAGCGATTAGCTCTTTTGTGAAATTCTCCAAAGACTCGAACTCTTCTATGAATTTAGATGTACCGTCTATGCTTTTGCAAATCTCTTCAACCATCTTTTCTAATGGCACACTCTTTTCATTGAGCACATTAATTATTCTGGTACCCACCATTTCAACTGCTTCCACTGAATCAATACCCTTCACTGCGTTGAAGCTCAACGAATTGAAGAATTCATACTTACTCTTCTCATGAGATTGGAGTTCATTTCTCAATAAAACATTCTCTTGCTTCAAAGTATTAACTCTGTCAACATGGATTTGCAAATTCTGGCCTTTTAAGCATAACTCCTCTGTAATGACAGATTGAGAAAGTCGGAGTTCAGTCAACTCTGCATTTACCATGTCCAGATGAGCCTGCAAACTGCCAGTGCAAGTCTCTAAGGAAGAAATTTTCTCTTGCAACCTCCGGTTTTCCATATCAAATACATCTATATGACTTAAAGATGATTCGCATTCAGATTTTTTCTCCTCCAAATCTTGAAAAACTCTAAAATAGTCTTCCTTCAATTTCTTTACCTCGCTTTTTATTGACTCATTCTCCTCCTCAAGGTAGTTCATTTTGCTTAGCTCCGCATCTTTCATCTCCAACTCAGCTTGAAGTTTGCATGACGATGCTTCCAGCAAGCATTTGTCATTATGCAACATTTGCTTTTGGAGATCAAGGTCAGAGATATGGCTAGAAGAAATTTCTAGAGCCCTTTCCTTTGTCTTAATCTCTTCTATTAACTTTTCACAGTCAGCTTCAAGTTTTTTAACCTGGGATGACAGTCTCATCTTTTCCTCTATCACTTCACCAAGTTCACTTTGCAAGTGATCATTTGAACATGAAACATCCTTCAACAACTGAATATCTTGTTCAAGAGTCTTGTTAACTTTATCCATATGTGTAATTCTTGAATTGCTTTCATTGAGCTTTGACAACAACTCCTGCCTCTCCCTTTGTGCTTCTTGAACTTCTTTTTGTAGAATAACAACCTCAACTTCCTCATCCATCATGATCCATCTTTCTATCTCTGCGTCCATGGTGAGAAAAATAATCTCTTTCTTAAAGTTCTCAAGGACCATACAACAACTGGTTTGCTCCTCTTCCATACTAGCTTTTTGGACTTCCACTTGGTTTAACTCTGACGCCAAGATAAGCAATTCAAAATCCTTTGCAGACAGGTCAATCATGAAATTCTCCTCCTGAGATTTCAAGACTTCCTCTTTATCCTTCAGCAATTTTTCTTGATTTAAAATGGGTCCCAAAACATTTCTGTTACTCATGTCCAACTCCTTAGTCAGAACAGAAAGCTCAGATCCCATATTGTTAGCCCTTTGCAACATTAGCTCCTCTTGAAGCTGTAAATTCAATATTTTCTTCTCAAAAGTGGTTAGCTTGATACTAAGCTCCCCAGTTTCATCTTCTTTCCTTGCAATGCGATCGAAACTATTCTTAATATCTGCCAGTAATTTCCCCTTGAGGATTCTACACATTTCAAGCTCATTTCTCGATTTGAAATTGTGCTCTCTCAACTCAGATATAACAGAGGCTGATTCACAGAGCCCGTGATGAAGCAAACCATTTTCTGCATTCAACCCTGTAACTGTTTCCAACAGGATTCCCATGTGACAAAGGTGTAGCACAGACACAGCACAATCCTTTACAATTATCTCAGACCAAATGTCCTCAAGCCATGAACGCATTAACATTGTTGAGTCTTGAAGTTGAGACTTCATGCAGATGAAATCAGAGGCTATAGACAAAGAGTCTTCCTTGAAAGTTGTCTGGACCTGTCCGACTATACTCTCCAGTTCTAGAACCAGCCTCCTCATTTCCATCATATCTGAAGCAAACTGATCTTCAAGGTTTTTGTAATGCGAATCCTGCAGATCCTTGGCGGATTGCAAACTTTGAACCTCATTGATTAGTATATTTTTCTCGTTGATTATGGAGTCCTCCATTTTCTTCAGCCCTTCAATCTCAAGCTTCAGGGTTTCATTACTTATCACCAACTCATTTATCATGATATCTGCTTCTTTCATGGTATCTTGGGCCTCTTCAAATTGAGAAAGAATACAAGAAGCCTCTGCAGTTTTCTGGGCTGCAACTACCTTTGCATCACCAAGTTCGAGCTCAAACAACTGTAGCAAATGAAATGGAAAAGACATGAGAGCAGTTACATTTTCTAGGTACTAAGGTTGTACACTACTTGTTACTTATCAAAAAAAAATAAAAAAAATAAAAAAATAAAGGTTGTACACTACTTGTCAAAATTCAATATATATTTGAATATACACACTATGTCCAATATATTTATATTTAAACACGTGCAGTGGTTATGGCCTTTTATATCATAATTTATTATCATCCATTTAGATTGATTTTAATTAAATTAAAGTGAAAACCTACTAGTGGCAGATATAGCATTGTGGAATGAGATATTGTGATCAGAATAAGATCCAACCCATAGCAGTGCATGTATTTTTGTAAAAGAATAAATTAGCACATTGGCTTACCTCTTCTTTCTGGCACCAGCAAGTGCCAGCTTCTTGCACAGTTTCTCCTACTTTCTGGAGCTTATGATCTATAGCCACCATCTTGGGTACAAGTTGTTTTTCGAAGCTACTCATATCTGTTTGTAAGGTGAGTATTTGAGTCATAAGATACTCAATGCTCCCCTGGCTTTGTTTTGCAGACATCCAGACCTCTTCTTTCTCATTGCGTAGTTTTGCCATCTCAGATTGCACCCCTTTTAAACATTCTACAGCAGATTCTATTTCTTTTCTTAGAAGAATAATGGTAGCATCTCTATCATTCTTGTCCTTGTTAGTTCCTGAAATTGCAAAGTTTTTATGATCCAATGAATATTCACTCACATTCTTGCGTACTTCAAAAGTACACTCTGAAATCTCAGTTTTCAAGTCCTCAACAGTTTGTGAGTCTATCTTGTTGGAGCCTTGATTCATTTCAGCACCTGTCTGCAACAGTTTCCAAATAGATTGAATTAATAAAAGTAAAACACTCCAAAAAGCTAGAGAGTATCCAAATAGGTTGAATTTATAAATGTAAAACAATCCAAAAAACTATAGTACAACATAAAAGGTGAATTAACGACAAAGTCGCTATTTATAAAAAAATCAACACATCAGCTTACCCTTGCTCCACATTTGCCATTAGCTGGCAAACAAGCAAGATTTACAGAGGTATTATCATTTTCAGAACTTCCAACCTGCTCCACATACTCATTCATGCATGACCTGAGTGTTGAAACACCAGATTTCAGCTCAGTAAGTTTCTCTCTCGTCTTTAAAATGTCATTTTCTTCAATTTCTTGAAGCTTCTGTTCCATAGCACAAGCACGTTTCTGCTCCTCAAGAAGCTGCAGTTTCAGTTTACCAAGGCTCTCCTCTGACACTTCCAGCTCCGTTTTGAGAGACTGAATCTGTGTCTCCGCTTCATCAATTACAGTAGCCTGATTATGGAGAAAAGCATCCTTCTGCAGGTTCATTCCTATTGATTCTCTAAGCTGGATATCCTTATGCTTTAATGCATCATGATAATCAGAATTTATCTCGGACATTCTATTCACAATCAAAAAAGCAACTGTTGCACAAGTTGATGCTTTTCTAATTTCTTCTTCCTCCTCCTTAATCTTGTCTTCCAGCTCGGCTACAAGAGAAGCTTTTGCTTTCAATTGTGATGTCAACTGGAGGATTTCTTGCTCCTTTTCACTGCACTCTTGCTGGTGTGCTTCCGTTATAACTAAAGCTGCCCCTCTCAAAGACCTCAGCATGCACTCCATGTTGCTTCTTCTATTGTTTGCATCGTCTAAGCACTGATTGAGTTCTTCAATTAGTAGCTCCTTCTCAGAGATGATTTTTGTCACTCTGCCCACTTTTTCAGAAATACAAGCTCTTTTCTGAGGAAAGGAACCGGAAATAACATCAAGCTGATTAGACGCATCTTTAAGCGCCTCACTCCCACCAGTAAGAACATATTCAATCTCACAGGTCAATTGTTCCCACTCTTCAGACAATGCTTTTAATTCGTCATCCTTCTCTTCCAGCTTTTCACCTAACTCTTTCTTATCTTGAGCCATGAGAGAGAATTTTTCCTGAAGCTCCTTCAACTCAGTTTGAAAAAGCACCAGCCTCTCTTGTGTTTCTCTCTCTTTCAATTTACTATCCTGAACTTGCTGCTGAAGAGTAGCAAGTTCTTCCTGAAGCTCTTCGCCTAACTCTTTCTTATCTAGAGCCATGAGATATAATTTTTCCTGAAGCTCCTCCTTCAAGTCAGTTTGCAAAAGCTCTTTCAATTTTAATTCGTCATCCTTTTCTTCCAGCCTTTCACCCAACTCTTTCTTATCTTGAGCCATGAGATATAATTTTTCATGAAGCTCCTTCAACTCATTTTGCAAAAGCACCAGCCTTTCTTGTGTTTCTCTCTCTTTCAATTTACTATCCTGAACTTGCTGTTGAAGGGCAGCCAGTTCTTCCTGCAAGCAGACTATCACCTCAGCAGTCTCAGCCTCAACCTGCTTACGAACTTCATCCATTTCTTCTTCATTAGATGTCTGAAATGTACGATCACTTTGGTACCACATATTCAGTCTCTTGGCCTTTTCAAGAGAACCTTGCATCTTCTTCAACTTTGCTTGTAAAGGGGAATCTTCATTTTCTGAATGTTTGAAAGATGGGAGATCTTTTAACTCTTGGAAGCACATTTGCTCTTTCATTGCAGAAATTTCAAGCTCCTGCTTACTCAAAAGCTCCACATAGTGGCTGTTACTGTTCCTGAGATCCTCTGTCTCATTAATTGACAGAACTTGCTGGGATTCAAGAGCTTCAATAACTGATTTTGCTTCCTTGAGTTCCTCCTTCACATCTTCACATTGTTTGGTCAACAATAAGACCTTCTCTTTCGTCAGCTCAAGATCCCTATCCAGGTACCGTGTCCTCATCTGCTCTGCATCGCCACGAGATGACCTCTCTTCTTTAAGAATAATCTTTAGAATATCCAACTCCAGTTGTAAATTTATGACTTCTTCTGAGTGTTTCATCAGCGTTTCATGCTTTGCCTCTCCCTTCTGTTTTTCTACCGCCACAAGTGATCGATTGTCAAACAATGGAGCTTCGATAATGGACTCCTGAAAGTCATTGTTATTATCATTAATAAGAGAAGTTGAATGCATTCATGGAGTTAAAAAAAAAGGGGAAAAAAGAAGAAGGATGTTACTGGCCATATTTGATATGATTATTAAAAAATAGACTTCCAGAATGGACACCTAAACGTCATTGATATTATCAGCCACTATGGAAAGAATGCATTCATGACGTTAATCAAATGGGGAAAAAAAAGAAGCATGAATGTGAATAATGTGTAATAAATGAAAAAGTGAGTTAATGACTGTGTGTGTGCATGAATGAAGATGAATATGAATGGTGGTGTGTGAAGAAGAAAATCAAATGGAAAAAAAAAAAAAAAAAAAAAAAAGAAGCATGAATGTGAATAACGTGTAATAAATGAAAAAGTGAGCTAATGACTCTGTGTGTGCATGAATGAAGATGAATATGAATGGTGGTGTGTGAAGTGAAAGAACCGAAAAGAGTGAAGAAACAGAGAAAAGAGAAAGAAAAAGTGAGAAATTATTGAGGACCAAGAGTGAGTGTATTCCTTAAGAAGAGAGTGTGTCTTCTTCTAGTGACTGTGTGGGGAATGTCTCTTGATAATCCATTCAGAGTTGTAATCTTCTAATAAAAGTAGCGTCTGTGATTTCCATCATATTTTTTATTTTTCCTTTGTTTCCATTGCATATTAGTTGTGTGAAATTGGGTGGATTAATTCCTAACAAGTGGTATCAGAGCTGATACGAAAGGGATTAATTCCAAACATATATTAGTCTCATAATAAGGGAAATGTTTTTATTATTATTTTAAATTGCATACATAATGATATTAATCTGCCTCTTTCTATAAGAATTAGCAATACAATTTCAAAGTAATAATACAACTAAGTGAAATTACCTTTATGACTTCAACACTGCTATCATCATCACAGGTTTCAGTTTTGAGGTTGATTAGTGAAGCACGTAGATCATCAATTTCTCTGCAGAAAATGGAGAGACAAAATAGCACAATGTAAATGCAAGAGTAAATGGTAGTATAGTATTCTATGTATATAAATCCAAAAAAACTTGAGACTGCTTGATCAAATAAAAAAGTCAGAGGACCAGATTCCATTACCTACTAAGTTTTTCATTATTCTCCAAGCAAGAGTTTAGGTTACTCCTGCACTCTTCCAATTCTTTCAGAGTGCTTTTGAACTGAAACCATAAATAGTGAGTTTGAGTGAGACATGCAGCTTACACAAAAAAGAAGTTATATAATTTATTGGAACATGAGTAGTAAGCAACCTCCAAGTTGAGCATTTCATTTTCTTTATTGAAATGTATAGCTTCCTGTGCCAATGGAGAATAAATTGTACAAATTCAAGAAAAGGTAACGTAATAAATCCAATTTTCTAACTTGGTACGAAAAAGAAAATTCATATATATTTAAGGTTAACCTGAGGGGTGGCACTGATTTTTGGATGATTATTCTGGTTTGATTTCCCATCAAGAAGAAGAGCTAGCTGTAAACATAGGGATTGGGTTTATGCGCTCATACTAGAGAATGCAAAGGAAAAAAAATATAGGATTCATTCCAGATGCTAGAAGGACCTGATCCCGCAGTTCAGATACTTCGGTTAACAACAGTTCTCTCTCCCCTTCTTCATAGAAGTCTTGATATCTATAAATGCCAACAAAAAATAAAAGATAAAAAAGAATAAAAATGGTAAAGCGATGCCAGATTTTTGTTTTCTTTCTTATTTACTTTTCAACAGAAAGCTACCTTCTGATCTGTTCTAAAAGCCTGATATTCTCTAGAGCAAAGCGAGTTACTTCTGGGTTTCTATCAAGTTTAGCTCGAAGCAGCTGAATCTCTTCAGAGAGTGCACCATTCTCTTCCAATAAATAAGCGTCTGCGGGTATTAAACCACTAACAAGTGATTCCATTCGTTGAATTTTGTCTTCCCTAAACTTCAGCATCATCTTTGTGCACCTAGTATCCTCCTCTCTTTGACGAACCTGATAAGCAATATCTGTTAGGGATCTAAGTTATGGCTTCAAGGCAAATACATCCTTTGCTTTCTTTCACAACCTGACCAGCAGCCAACAAACACCCCCAAAACTAAAACAAAATAAAATAAGAAAAAGTTACCAATCGGTTCAACTGTTCAAGTTCAGCTTCAAGTTGCTTAATTGAGGTCTCTGCCATCTGTTCCCTTCTCAAGGCACCAGCAAGTGTTGTCTCCAATGATTTCAACTGATAATAAACAAGAAAAAGGAATCCAATACATTTTTTTAAAATCATATTTCACAAGTACTAATATGGAGGAAATGAAGTTTGAGTCCAAATTCATGATGTTGTGACAGAAACACATGCTAGTAATTTAAAAAAAATAAAAAAAATTTATCAGCTTTTATGTAGATCGTGGGTAGTAAAATACCATGTAATCTAAATATGACACTTGTATTCCGGGCATACATATGGGATATGTATTATGCACGTTTTGGGGGTAACAAAACAGTCATCTTGACATTTAAATCCTAAAACAAAAATCCAAAAAAAAAAAAGGGCATATATATTCAAAGTTCCAATTGACGGGTGTTTGATGCAACTAACACCTGTTTGATCCAGGCATTCGCATAGCATCACAATCTACATTGTGACAATGGTACTGTTTCTGAATATCAAATTATGTTAAACATAAAGTACTGCCCGTATTACATTTCCTGTATTCTTATTTCTTTTATATGATCGTGGATGGGTGGAAGTGTTACCTTCATAAATTATTTTAATGAAATCTCAAATGGGACTTAGGTTTGCTATAATATAATAGTAGAAATATAATATAGAAGAAAAATGAGAGAATTATGTAAAGGTTTGAACGAGATAAATCACTCATTTATAGCTCTAGTATTTATAGATAAAAAAAGAGCACATGCTTACATTACAAGAAAGTAAATTAAATCAAATCACAACACATTCTATTGCATATTCTATGCCATGATTCGTAGCTATCAAATCTTTGATAATATGGTAAGTCATTCCATAAATCGTGGCTATCATATCTGCTAACACTCCCCCTCAAGTTGGTGCGAGGATTTCTTAAACACCCAACCTGAACAATGCATCTTCAAACACAGCCTTGCTAGCACCCTTCTTCAGAATCTACAAGTTGCAGAGTGTAAATCTGACTAGCAATGATTTCCTCTTGGGTGAAGTGCCGATCAACAAATCAAAAAATGTCTCCTCAGACCATAAACAATTAACAATGTCTCCTCAAACCATAAACAACCAATCATGTCTCCTCAAATCGTAAACAACGAACAATGTCTCCTCAGACCATTTCCCTTCAACACATGTTTAAAACATGTAGATGGAAGAATCAACAATGTCTCCTCAAACCACCCCCTTCATACATATGTTTAAACAATGTAGATAAAAGAATCAAAACTGTCTCCTCAGACCATAAAAAGAAACAACTATGTCTCCTCAGACCATTTCTGAATAGGTGGTAATATGGTAAGTCATTCCATAAATCGTGACTATCATATTTGCTAACACTCCCCCTCACGTTTGTGCGTGGATATCTGAGACACCCAACTTGGACAATGCATCTTCAAACACAGTCTTGCTAGCACCCTTCTCCAGAATTTACAAGTTGCAAAGTGTAAATCTGACTAGCAATGATTTCCTCTTAGATGAAGTGCCGATCAACAAATCAAAAAATGTCTCCTCAAAGGCTCAAACCATAAACAATTAACAATGTCTCCTCAGACCATAAACAACCAATCATGTCTCCTCAGCGTAAACAATGAACAATGTCTCCTCAGACCATTTCCCTTCAACACATGTTTAAAACATGTAGATGGAAGAATCAACAATGTCTCCTCAGACCACCCCCCTTCATACATATGTTTAAACAATGTAGATAAAAGAATCAAAACTGTCTCCTCAGACCTTAAAAAGAAACAACTATGTCTCCTCAGACCATTTCTGAATAGGTGGTGCTAAACTCGCAAAGCCCTCATTAAGATCGGACCACCCTGCCTACCCAACACCTCCCGGATGGGCGATGTCACCTTAGACCATTCCCAAATGGGTGGTGTTGAACTCGCAATTCCCTCATTGCAGTCAGACCACCCTGGCTCTGATACCAGGTAGAAATATAATATAGAAGAAAAATGAGAGAATTATGTAAAGGTTTGAATGAGATAAATCACTCATTCGTAGCTCTAGTATTTATAGAAGAAAAAAAAAAGAGCATATGCTCATATTACAAGAAAGCAAATTAAATCAAATCTAAATCAAATCACAACACATTCTCTGGCATATTCTATGCCATGATTCGTGGCTATCAAATCTTTGTTAATATGGTAAGTCATTCCATAAATCGTGGCTATCATATCTGGTAACAATAATAGTTTGGAAAATGTACTTATTTCTCAAAAGATCACCAAACATGTTTGTAGGTTTGCAAACATGAAGATTGACATAATGATAGTTTCATAATTCACAACTATAAAATGCTTCTACTCTATCTAAATTCTAAAGATCAAATCATGTGGAATTTACATCAGCATATTGCAACTTAGATACCTGTTTTAAAGACACTTTCAGAATGCCTTTAGATTCAGATCCAAGCAAATTATCAGTTCTCTGCTCATCCAATTCAAGTGCCTTTTGGCTGGAGGGATTTTCACCAAATGATAGAGATCTGGAGACATTTTGGCGTTTGAGGGCAGACAGCTCCTCCTATTCCAAAAACAACTCATTAATTTCAAATAAAAACTAATTTTTACCTGACATTTTTCCTACTAAAACATCGAAAAATTTAATGCCACCGTTAAAACTTGTATCTGGTGTTGTAATGCTATGACATCTCCTGAAGAATCTTCATTCACCACAGCCTTCATCATGAACAAAAAGAACATATATGGTCAGAACTAAGAAACAATTGCTTTCTTCATGAAAGCTGACCATATTGTACTGAGCATAGAAACAAGCTTACATTGTTCTGAATAAGTTTTGCTCGCTGAGCAAACTTTAAAGTATTCAGTGTTTCAGCAGCACACCTGGAAAAAGAAAAATTAGGGGAAAAAAAGGTATAAGAGAATTTAGCACCTAACTATTCAAGTTGAACTGATAATAAACATGAAAAAGCACATGCACCAACCATATAGAAGGGCTGACATTGGCAATCATCATTGTTTTCGAGTTTCCACCTAGTGAGTCCTGCATATCATATTGCTTAAATATAAATCATGAAAAATAACATATAAGCCTGATGACGACAAATAAATGGATCTAGAATTCACCTGAAGAAGAAATGTCAGCCTTGAATCTCTATAAGGAACATGCTTTGTCCTCCCATGTGCCACATCCAAAAGAACCATTATTACATGACTGCAAATTGAAATGTTTACCCAAAGTGCTCACAACGGATGAAAAGGATGTCAAGAACAGCAAAAAGAAAATGCTATCAGAGAAATCTGGTAATGATTATAGTACCCTAATGTAGATAACGATTTGTTAATATTAGCAGCTTCCTTTAAACGTTCACCCTCAGCGCCAGAAGTTTTCTGCCTGCCACGTGACGATAAAATTATTGCGTGTAGCACAAAGCAAAATTTTCTTTTCTTTCTCCAAGTACAAATTAGCTCAAATTAATTGGACATGATGCATTACCTTTCAGAGCCAGCAAGATCAACAAGGTTTAGTCTTGCAAATCGTAGATTAGACGTGGAATCCTTTTCCCACCTTCTCTCAATTACACATGTGAAGACACTATGCGAACGACTGCTCTCTCTATTCATATTTGTTGCGGCAACTTTTCTATTTGAAGAACCCTATTGCAACAAACCAGTTTTCATAAAGAACAAAGACACGCAATGACACACATTCAAGTGGAAGCACACACACACATAGACAGAGAGAGAAGCAATGCCAGACTGAAAACAGTAAGGATCAAAGTTTAATAACCTGACTCAGAAGCTTAAGAATATCACCAACAGTCTGGACTTCAAATTCTGACAGATTTTCAACATACACACCCGTCTTAATGTCCTCCCGCAGCTACAAAGGCAATGAACAAACATAAGAGAGCAAAATATTTATATTACACACTCATATGCTTATGAAACAACACAACTTACTAGCAAATTTGTAGAAGAAGGATCAAGGAGATCAGTAATTTGTTCATTATAAATCTCTAAGAAAGAGCACTTGCAGTTGTATTTCAATCTCTCATCCCTTCGGCTTTCCTCTTCCTGCAAGCAGAAGAATACAAGGGAACCTTATCGGTGCTATAACTAAGATGTTTTCGAACAAATCAGAAATTGAGGTAGCAAGTTTGAGCGAAGAGTGTTGAAGTTACAGCTCTTATTCTTGCAAACAAGAACTCAAATATGCGTGGTGTCATTCCACGATTTGGACTGGGCTTGACTTCTAACTCTTCAATCTCACCAAGCATTGTATATGTCTTCCCACTTCCTGTCTAGATGGTTAAATGAATTCATTTTAAAACAAGAAGGCACTTAATTGTGTTGAAATTGCAAAGGAAAATGAAAAAGAAACAAGAACCTCAACATAAGTACAAAATTTAGATGGTTTAAGGTGATTTAATTTATACAATTCTAAAAGACTCTGTTTTTGCTAGTGAGCATATATTTTGCATTACATCATAAGAAAATGTGGTGCATTCTTTAGTGTTTTGATTAATATTATTAATTTATTTTCGATGTAATGCACTCACGTAACCATATCCATCATTTAATGAGACGAAATTGTTATGAACTTATGACTATTCTGTTAAGGGAGGATAACAACAGATATCTTCGTGGCTACAGGCGGATATCCCAGCCATCCTAAATTTCATCATATTGATGAGATTTAGTCTGTGTCTAGTATGTAAAAAGATTAGGTATTTACCATTGGTAGTCAATGTCCATATAGATGTAGATAAATAATGATTCAAGATCACTATTCTGGGTGTTCTGTGACATACAACATATCCATTACCCCAAGTATACATTATTCATTTTCTTCTATTTTTTTTTGGTCACCGATGGTGGTGACAAACCTCTTAGAGCACCCCATAGTCCACCACTGGCACATGCAATCCTCCCGTTTTACATGACCAGGCAATTGTCGAGAAATTCCCTGGGAGTGGCCCCAAGTATACAATATTCAACCCATCCAAATGGGTCAGAAAGTTGACAACATCAATATTTATCCTATTTAAAATAAAATGTTGGTAATAGATTTTATTGTTGAAAGATTAAGTATAATTGATAACATCAATATTTATCCTATTTAAAATCAAATGTTGGGAATAGACTTAATTGTTGAAGGATTAAATATGAATTATATGTTAAGTCCTCATTTTTCCATGATTAAAAAGCAACTCAATTTCCGAGAAATACCTGCCCATAGGCAAACACACAGCTATTGTATCCAGAAAGGCAATTCTCCACCATAGGCAGACCAACCATCCTGAAAAGCGTTTCCTGCAATATCCCAACCAGTTATTCAAACATGTAATTAGCCAAAGAAGAAAAAAAAAAAAAAAATGAATCAATTGTATATTTAAAAGTTTATTTGGTTCTAATGAGACCTGGTCTATGGTTTCACATGCTACATGGTCAAATGTAAATCGAGTTTCTGGTTGCCCGATCCAAGTGATGCATTGTGCACTCTCCTGCTTCAAGCACCTACTATAAGCATTGGTACTTTTCTCCTTGCTATTTAGAGGACGGACCCGTATCAAAACCTTAACAAGTTCAACTTTAGTGAGCAAGATATACAAAATTTAGGTAACAAAAACACTAATTTGGAAGCCCTAATTTGAAATCTTTCTCAATAATCATATGAAATCAGTGGCAAACTCCGGGAAAAGATAGAAAAGTGAGCTTACCTGTACATTGTGATCCATCCAAAATGATGGATCTTCTTTGAGATCAAAATGTGGCACTTCCACTGAATTAACAACAGTTGAGGAACTACAAGAAATTGGAATCCCTTTTGACAATGCAGCAAAGTTGCCCATGCGAGCACCTCCATTAGACAGAGGTCGAGAACCACCTGTTAGACAAAGTCCCGGATTCGGAGGCTTGGTTACACTCTTTGTTGGTGTACTCTGTGTCGAATTGCATTCCGAATAACCTGAATTAGCTCTCCCCATAACCCTATTCGACTGAGGAGTAGTCATGCCGGCAAAAACCCCATTCCCATTCACACGACTCGATTGGCTCATATAGTGGCTCATATCAGCCCTCCCATCATCGTGTGATTCGATTGCATTCGAGCTTGATTCGTTCTTCGGCACCCACCCAAATCGACTCTTCGCCTGAGCTCCTTGTTTCTCCGGCGTGGAAAGCGACATTGTGTTATCAGAGCTTTTGCGCTTGACCTTAGTGGGTGTTTTATCAACCTTAGTGCTCCTAACACCCACCTCTTTCTCTACCACAGCTTTAGAATTCGAGGCCGGTTCTTGAATTGCGTTCAACGGGGCCCTGTTCGAATCCGTTCCGGTCTGATTACCCAACGAATACCTAGGGTTTATGGGCACATTCTCGATTTCCTCTGCGTTTGAATTCTTACCCGAATTCCGGCGTAAGAATTTGAAGTCCCGCAACATTCTAAATACAAGCTAATTCCAATCAAGAACAAGAAATGGAAAGCCAATTTTGGAGAAATGAAATCTGGGAATGAAAAATTGGGAAGATGTGGGTATGGAGTACCTGAAAGAGGAAGTGAGAAAGAGAATCCCGAGTTGACGACCACCTGAAATTGCTTCGTTGAGTAAAGTCTCAGCTGGTTCTTTCTAAAGTTTGAATCTTGCTTCAAGAATGCATTCAAATCTCTGTCTCTCTCAAAAAAATTTGTGAAAGTAAAATTTTGGGAACAAGAAATGCTACAATGTGGATTTGGAGTACCTGAAATTTCTTTGTTGAGTAGAGTTTCAGCGAATTCTTTCTAGGGTTTGGATCTTGAATCAATAATATATGTATTCAACATAGTAATATACAGACACACTATATTACTCTGTATGTCTCTCTCTTGTTTTTCTCTCTCTAACTTCTTTCTAGATTCTTGAACTCTGACATCTCTGTGTCTCTCTCAAGCTTCGATCTTGATTCGTACTATAACTTTGAAAATTGTTTGCGAGTGGGGTTTTAGGAACAGAGATGAGGAATGGACGGCTGAGATCTCATCTAGATTTGAAATTTAATGGACACCGCGCTTTTGAGTTTTGAATCGCCTTGCGGTCTTCTCTTTTATTTATTTTTTCCAAAAGAAAAGTGAAAATTTTATTATGTCTTCAACGGCTAATTTCTTGCTCCTCCTACACTACTAGCCTCTCCTAGCTTGCTTTGTACTGTGGGCCCCACTGCATAACCTTCACTCGACGGGGTATAAAATTGATATGGGACACTCGAGTGAAATCATTGTCAGGTGGGGTCCGTTTTGTTTTATTTTCAAAATTGCTGTTTGAAATTATATCCTTATTTTTTTTTTTTTTTTGGGAAAAAAAAATTATATCCTTAATGAAAATATAGAACACGTTATAAAGATGTCACGAATGCTATGACGAAAAAATTAATTAATTAATTAATTAAATAATAGAAGGAAAGAAAAGAGAATATGAAGAATAATCTATACTTTCTCATTTACAAGTTTTTATTTGTCAATAAAAAAAAGAAAATAAGTCAATAGATGTTTTAAATTAGATACTATTCCAAATAATATAAATTTTAAATTATTATACTATCTTTTATAAATTACAATATTATATATATTATTAGAAATAATAGTAAAAATAATTAAAACTTTATTCTTTTCTTATATACCGTAATAAATTATGAATTTTTTCTCTTCCTTTTATCTAATTGAAAAGAAAAAAAAATACATAATATATTTATTAAGATGTCTCATTCATCCTTTCTTCTTTTTCTTTTATTTAAACTTTTTTAGTAATTTAATTTTTTTTTTATCTTTTTTTTTAATAATATAAATTATTTCTTTTTTTTAATAATATAAATTATTTCTTTTTTTTATCTTTTTTTTTAATAATATAAATTTTAAATTATTATACTATCTTTTATAAATTACAATATTATATATATTATTAGATATAATAGTAAAAATAATTAAAACTTTATTCTTCTCTTATATAACGTAGTAAATTATGAATTTATTCTCTTCCTTTTATCTAATTAAAAAGAAAAAAAAAAGTACATAATATATTTCTTAAGATGTCTCATTCATCATTTCTTCTTTTATTTTTTTAAATTTTTTTTAATAATTTAATTTTTTTTTATCTTTTTTAAAAATTTAAACAATTACATACATCCACAATATTTTGAACGGTCAACAAAATCCCCTTCTATTAGCCTCTTTAATATTGAATGTTGATATAAATTAATCATATTCTTTCATTTTAATAATTATAATGCTATTTAAATGGACAACAAACCAATCAATATGATATAATTGATATTATTTCCGTTGGGTGGTACCCCACCAATGAGAATTCTAAGTAACATGAAGGAGGGATTTGACATAAATGCTTTTAGAATCATCAATTTATTTATTTATTTCTAGAGATTGATAAGGTTTGATAACCCCAATTGCACAATAGAATTCCCTGTGTTGTTTTCAAATTATTAAATTTAACAATTTAGGGTATTCCGACCACTGATTTCTTTGACATATTCGGAGCATCTTTCTCCCTTCTTGTGAAGGTTTCGTTTTCAATGTTTTTTTTTTTTTTTAATCTCAATAATAAATACTCACATAAATCCATAACGCATATCAGTATATCACTAATTTTATGTTAAACTTTTAATAATATATTATATCACTAATTTTATGTTAAACTTTTAATAATATGTTCGACCATATAGTAACCACAAACTAAAAAACCTCAACCACATAACTAAAGATTGTACAATTTTTTTTTTTGGAACGAAATACTCTCTTCGTCGTGGACGAATCAATACTCTCTTCGTCAAGGACGAATCAAAAATCGAAATTTTGAGTGGAAATATATATATCAGAATGAAAAAAATGGTGAAGCATACTAATAAATAAATCAGGGCCTCAGTCCAACATGGGTTCGTCCCTGTTCTTCTTCACTTGTTCTTGTACTCGGATCATCTTTCTCCCGACTTGTAATGGTCTTTTTTTCCATTTTTTTCTTTAAAACATGTTTATGCCCAAAAAAAACCTCCATGATTAAATTCACATAAATCCACAATGCATGATTCACTAATTTTATGCTAAACTTTTAATAATTGTTTGCAAAATATATATACAAACACACGGAGAAATCATAAAATAAAAAGTATGCCATTTTTTTTCTTTCTAAGATTTGGATTTACTATTAAATCAACTGTGCAATATTCACAAACACATTCCCCTGGAAAATACAACACATATTTAATATCATAATTAAATCGAGAATTTAATAGATGTACATAATTACTGTGTTGTCGATTAATATAATAGCAATAGCGATTTAAAATTCTTGCATTGTCTATTTAAAATTATTATTAAGTCATTGGTTTAATGCACATGACAAAAAAACAGAAATTTGGATGGAAAAAGTTAGGCTTGCTTCTGAGAACAATTTTCAAAATAATGTATAAAAATCTTACTTGTTTATCTTCATAGAACTTACTTTTATAATTCTTTAAAAATAATTTATTAAATTCTTAAAATTATTTTTTGAGTAACAAATCAACCAATCCCTTAATTTTTGTTTACCCTAATCTATTTCTAATTTTTATGCTAGTATATCTCAAGGATAAGATTGGTTCAAAATTTTATAATATAATGTCGTTTTCACCGCACATTAATTGTCAGTGAATCTGAAATTGTGCTTCATATATTAAGAAGAGGAGATAAAGTACGCCCCATGGAGTCTTCCAAAAGCCATTTTTGAGCTACCGGTACTGTATACACACATATTACATACACGCACATATATATATGTATATACGCAGGGACTAGAAGATGAAAGCCATGAAATAAAGAGATTTGAAAGATATATAATGGTGATCAAGAAATTGGAAATGTGCATAGAGATATTGAAAGTGTTCTTAGAGTTCGTGGTCGTCTTCATTGAAGCTGTTGCTGTTGTTATCAATCAGAGATCATCAACTATCACTGTTCCTCTTCCCTATCTTGTTCTTCCTTAGTCATAATCTTTTTTTTTTTTTTTTTTTTTTCTAGATTTATGGGTATGTGCCTGTATCTAATATGAATTGTATGGATTTCATTGGATGAGCATTTAAATTCATGAATTTTGAGACCACCATTGTTTTGCAGTTGGTACATTTTATTTATTAAACATAAAATGATGTTGCTATGGCCAAAGTACTAATTTAATGTGATTTTAGTTTTATTTATGTCAGAGTATTGTCTGAGATGCTTGCAGTACTTCTGTTTTTTTTTTTTTTTCGGAGAAAATTTGAAGGCACCAATGGAGGAAGAACAAATTGGCTCCCAGAGCATGGTAGGAGTTGTTGTGTGTGTGTAGCAGGATAAGAACTTTAATTTACAAGGTATTTAAGGATTTAAATTAAAGAGGATAAGAGCAATTGTGATTGCATTTTTTCCTAAAATGGGCATAATTTTGAGATTGTGCAACAAAAATAAAAAAGAAAAAAGAAAGAGGGATGGACTAGCAATGGGTATTCTTGATTTGTCTAGAATAGTGTTACTGAAATGGTTTCTCTATTACTGAAATTATCATTGTCACCTTCGCAATCTGTGCATTTTTTGATCATGGTTAAATTTTGAATATTGAAATTAATTGCAATCACTCTATATTTTTGTCTATATTATGACTAGCCACTCATAAGTCATATCCAAGAAAGTGCACATGTCCACTGTTGATTATAAAGGCTCCTCCATTTGAATTGTTATTGAGTGAATCCGGAATAAATCCGACAATGATTGTTGCTTCTTTTCTTAATTTTATATTTTGTTCTTTTGAAGCTTTATTGTAGCTAATAACAATAATCTAATATGAATAACTCGCTATTCACTCAATTTTGGGGGTCATAATTATTATGTAGGAGAGATGGCCGAGTGGTTCAAGGCGTAGCATTGGAACTGCTATGTAGGCTTTTGTTTACCGAGGGTTCGAATCCCTCTCTTTCCGTACCTTCACCCAATTTACCGATGTTACTGACCGCAATGCATCAAATAGCAATGTATACCATTATTCCAACAGTAAGGTCGTTCTTTGATATATATTCTCTATTCCTAATTGCGATGACACGGAAAAAATACTGCAGATTTTGACTCCGGAAATACGTCCAAATTCAATAACGAGACTTGAATGGAAAAACATTAATTTGTGTACAAAGACAGACACTTATATTTAAACACATTGGCCACGTAATAATGGAAAGAATTCACAAGTACCTTTTTAATTCACTCTTACACAACTTTTACAAATAACCATTCAAATGGTGAAAAGATCGCATAACTGTCTGTTGTTTAGAAGCTCATCTTGAAGAGTGACTTTGTACGTACGTATATTCTCGAGCTAAAATTAATGGTAAGCACAAATAAAAAAATGTTAATGGTGAACTATCTAGTATCCTTGGAACATTGGTGGAGGTG